TGGAGTCTTCAGTGCCCCCAGCCAGATCCCAGGAATGAAACTGATTTGATTTTTGGTCTTAGCCCTGGGATTGCACCAGAGTCAGGTTAAGGCCCCAGTGCAGTAAAGAAAATGAGAGCCAGGCAAACTGTTGTTTGTCATGCTGTCCCACTCCCCTCCCATATTGCTCCCAGGACTGTTCCCAGCCTCTGCACTGCTCCACAGCCCTGAACTCGCTCCTACGTGCTGCAGGGTCTGAGACCAACTCCCACTCCCCACAGTGCACTGGAGCCCTGGTGCTGGAATCACTCCCAGACCCTGCATCTTGAATTGGCTCCCATACTGTGCCAGTGTTGTTCCCAGCCCGGCAGTGCACAGGAGCCTGGGAATCGCAAATGTATTTTTGTAATGGAAGTGCAACAACCTGGAAGTTAAGATTTAAGTTCTACCAAAACCCACTTAACTTTAGAAAATGGTGACATTTCCATATTGTATTGTATCAAAGAGCTTCACAGCCTCAGATGAGAAACTTCCAAAACTTTCAACCCTACATGACTGTAAACACTTGTAAACACAAAAAAAATACAAAAACCTCCAGTGTTTAGGATTTCTTGTACTGAAAAGATATTTACAAGAAAAATTAATTGTTCTATTGTCATATGCTGCAATCTGGAATTCAACACTAATGAAAGTAGCCATAATTCCACCCTGAAAGGAACAACAGGGGAAATATACCTTTCTCAAGAAGATGAAAGACTGGGATACAAGGGTAATACCCTAGTCTTCTTATGATTCAATAATAAATGATCATCTTTAAATAATTTCAAAGCTGTGAAAAACAGCATAAAATGTAATTAATACATCAGATTTTTGGAATTGTTTCCTGACTAAGTAAAACGTAATTGGTGTTCAGGGAGTTGGAAAATGAATTCACAAGAACTAGAAGAGACCGATTTAAAAATATATGTACCATCCCTACAACAGGCCAGTCACTCATCTATAATGCCCAAACTAATACCTAATTCTAATTCTTACACTGAAATTTGAAAGAAAGAGTTGACATCTATAAATAGGAAGCCAAAGTAGCAGACCAAATAAGAATGTCTCTCTTTTTCTGCTTATGGGTAATTGGAAAAAAAGGATGAAGAATTTCTTAAATAAAATCTTTGTGTACATGCTAATTTAACACAGACAAAAGGAAAACAGAGACTTAGCTGAATGAGGGAAGTGACTTGTTAAGTTTATCCTTCACAATGGAGATCCAATTATCCTCTGTTGGCATCCTAACGGAGATAGATCCTGACCAATTAATATTATTTTGCACAGGATTGATTTAGAGTATGTAAGTCCATGGCAAGGCAGTTCTGGCAAAGCTGGATGTTTTTTTTTTCCTGCAGAGCTCGTTGAAGAAAGTGCTCAAGTAAGATGCAGGTAATGAGGTAAATTGTCAAGCCAGATGTGTAACAACACAGTCGGGCACCCAGGGCAACTGTGACACATGGGGCTAGTGGTGACGCCTGGCTTCTGCTGTGCTGCTGCAATGATTGTTTAGCTGTGGTAGCAGCAGTTTTTTCCCACCCCCAGCAAGTTGATGCCCAGGCTAGCTGCCCCAAATCACGCCCCCTAGTTATGCTACTGTCATCAGCTGCTGTAAACTAGCACAGCTCCACTGAAAAGAGGTAGAAACAAAATGGGAAATTTTTTTCCAGCAGAATATGCTGTCCACAGCAACTTTGATAGTAGATCTCTGGTAAGATCATCCCATCACCTCCTGTGACAGAAAGAAAAAAAATGGAAAACTTCCTTCACACACATTTTGCCTCAAAGGTTCCTAAATCCTAACAATTCCATTATCTATTATCAAAGGGATTTAAAAGACAATGCTTAATCTTGGCTGAAGTGGCTGCAGCAAGTTTAGTAAGACTCCCCACCATGTCAAGAAGGACTCTGAGCAGGTTTTTGAGAAATTACTTTACAAGACGGTGTCTTTCCATCTGTAAGAAACCCATGGAGGAGATGAGAGACCATAGGGGTTCACCATGTTTCAAGGGGCTTCTGGAGCGGGGGGGTGGGGGGTGGGGGGAGATGAAGTGTTCTGATTAATAGAACTAATTTATCATATGGTGAGAATGTAGCCATGTCTTCTTTGAACAGCTCTCCCAGAGGCTGGAGGAAAGAAGAGCTGAGAAACAAGATGGTCAGATAAGTACCACCTGAAGGAAAGTTCCTTAAGCATTCATTGTTACTGGAGCCAAAAGTGGCAAAATCATGTTGGGGATTGATTGGCATGGCAGGTAGAAATTAAGGATTTGATGGCACAGCAGATCTACATCTGCAGAATGGATCGACTATAGCCAGGATCTTGTTGTATGCCTTAAAAGGAAGTGATACTCCTGTTGTACTCAACACTGGTGAGACCGCAGCTGGAATACTGCATCCAGTTCTGGGCGCCGCACTTCCATAAACACATGGAAAAACTTGAGAGGGTCCAGAGAAGAGCCACCCATATGATCAGGGACTTGCAAGGCAAGAGATGTGAGGAAAGGCTGAGGGACCTGTGCTTCTTTAGCTTAAAGAAGAAAAGGTTGAGCGGGGACTTGATAGCATATAATAGCAGTTTACCACTATATCAGAGGAGTGCATCAGGAGATTGGTGTTCACTAGGGCACCCCCAGGGAAGACCAGGACCAATAGATATAAACTCCTGGAAGGCCGCTTCAGGCTTAGTATCAGGAAAAACTCCTTCAGTCAGGGTGTCCAGACTGTGGAAGAAACACCCTCCAGAGGTGGTGCAGTCACCTACCCTGGAGGTTTCAAGAGGAGACTGGACAGTCACCTTGCTGGGGTCATTTGACCCCAGTTGTCTTCCTGCCTAGAGCGGGGGGCTGGACCCGATGATCTCCAAGGTCCTTTCCAGCCCCTACCAATCTAGGAATCTATGAATCTGTAGGTCCTACCTTCATCCAGGCTCCCTTAAACAATTGTGCTTCCCCTCTTCAGACCATGAATAAACTGAGGAATCACCTAACTGACAGAAAAAACTCTTGAGCAGCAAACCAACTTCAACCTATCCAGTCACAGCATGAAACCCTTCCCTCCATTGGTAGTCATATATTTAGGAAGAGGAGGCTGAGAGAAGAGACTAGGCAAGGAAGAGAGAGTTATCAAAATCCAAATGCATCTCTTCCTTCAGAACAGTGCTGCACAGAAGCAGAAAGTCTGGAGGTGTTAGTTTTAGGCTATATAAACAGGTGTCAAGAGGTAGACAGTTCAGCTTCCTATGCAGTTTTGTGGGTATGGTTAACCTTAAGTTCCAGATGAGAAGATTGTGTGCTCTGGGGGATGGCATGAAAAAGTGATCAGAAAGACATGTGCAGACCAGTACAGGATTGAGCTAAACAATTTAAAGAGTCACTGATATGGTTAACTGATCCCATAATACTAAAACAATATAGCAAATATGTGGGTAAAGAAAACCAAGCCTTCAATGAAGATAGGTGATGCCTTGTAATATTTGTCATATACTGGTCATTTCCTGAAATCTTAATCAGAAATAAGAAAAATTATAATATGCTTGATATTCCTTGATATCACATTAATATAAAGCAATATCACAAGTACAGTCTATATAGTATTTGAAGTTTGGGCAATTACACTTGGAGGCTGCCCCGAACTACTCACAAGCCAGTATACGATTATCAGCAAGCAGCAAACACACCCTAAGAATTACAGAAGATTGAAACACCAGAAATGTAAAACATATACAATACATAAATACCACAGTGTATTACTTAATATATTACTTAAATACCACAGCTAATATTACTTAAAGAAAAATGGAGCTAAAACAATTATAAACGTATGCTACATTTCTATAGCTTGTTCTTTCTTTCATAACAAGCTATGAACCTTATAGACAACATTTTTTTTAAGTTATGTATTTGTAAATGAAAATAAGTATTTTCTTAGTAAATAGGCAGTGATTGTATTTTATCCCTATTTCACAAAGGACAGGCTCAGCAACAATAATATTATGTGCACAGATGCACACAAAACATGCCCAAAATAAAACATACAACACCAGCAACACACAAGGATTTTTTTTCTGAGCAGATTATAACAATACAACTTCCTGAAAAAGCAATAAGAGAAAAAAAAATAACTTACATGTTTTTGCCTAAACTTTTATTTATTCTAATAATGACATGGTGACAAGACTATTAATACAGGCAGTCCTCAGCTTACAATGTTTCGAGTTACAATGTTTCACGCTTATAATGTTTATAAATTGACACCCTGTTTCAACTTTATTATGACAGTTTTGACTTTACAACACTTGATCCTATGCAACACCACACCAGTGAACAAGTTCGCTGCATCACTCATCTCCCTGGACAACATCTGTCCAAATATCCTTGGACACTTTCTTTAAAAAAGCAGACAAAACTCCATAAAAAAACTGTAGCTAAGACTCCTGAGAAGACTCCAGCTAAGAACCTTCAAAATGTCCAACTGAGAGCCTATAAAAAGTCCAGCAAAGTCACCTCAAAGAAGTCCTTCCAAATCAATATGATTGCTATTTACAATATAAATACATTAATGTAGCTATATTACTCACCTATAATTGATTGAGTACAAAATTCTGGGGTATTTTTGGTGAAAATAGGGTATCGGGCCTTGGGTCAGGAACCAATCCCCTATTTATAACATTGTTTCTCATGAGAAAATTGTTTTTAAGTTGCAAAGTTTCTACTTAAGACGCAGTTTTCAGGAACCAATTTGTGTAATAAGTCTGAGGACTGCCTGTACAACACTGAGACTTTGGAGACTTATCCAGATGTTATGATGTTTTGCATAGTAAACTGACCTGAATAATTTTGTTCATTGGCACATACTGCCTAAAGTTTACATTATTGGATTTTCTAAGAGTAAAGAATAATAATAATAAAAAACAACAACAAAAACCAGAAAACTTTTGCATATCTTAAACTCAATAAATACTAACTGAAGATAAAACTTACTTGTGCAATTTGGCAAGGATCCTGACCATGTTCCATTGGCAGTACACTGCCTTACAGAAGATCCAGAAAGTATGTAGCCTTCCATGCAGGAATAAATTACTGAATTAGAAAATGTTGTGCCATCTATACGAAACACTTTCCCATTAGCAGTTGTTCCTGGGTTACCGCATTGCACAGCTATAAAAGAAAATGTTAAATGTATATGAAATGCAACGAAGATAAAAATTTTTACAAGGAGTAGTGAAAAAGGAACCAGTCCAATGCCTTTACTACCAGCAAAGTTCATGTGATAGAAAACTGTGCTGAAGGTCTAGGTTTCAATTCTTGCTGGTAAGGCATGAGGGAGGGTTGTCATCTTTTTCCTTCCAGGGCACGAATGTTGAAAGTGATATTAAAACTGTCTATTAAAAGAACAACATGTAGGTTACAGACAGAAAAGTACTCAAAATTAGAAAGTATCAGATATAAAGCCAGATGGATTGCAAATTGGCTGAAGGGTCATACTAAGAGGGTAGTGGTGGATGGGTCTTTTTCAACCTGGATGGAAGTGGGCAGTGGAGTCCCCCAGGGCTCAGTCTTCAGGCCCGCACTGTTCAATTTTTTTATTAGTGACTTGGACGACAGGGTGAAAAGCAGCCTGTTTAAATTTGCTGATGATACCAAGATTTGGGGTGAGGTGGGCATGCTAGAAGGGAAGGACAGATTAAAGCAGGACCTGGACAGGTTACAGAGGTGGGCTAATGAAAATAGGATGGGTTTCAATATGGACAAGTGCAGGGTGCTGCACTTGGGCAGTGGGAACCAGCAGCACACTTATATGCTGGGAAACTCCCTTCTTGAGAGCACGGTGGCAGAAAGAGATGTTGGAGTCATTATTGACTCCAAGATGAATTTGGGCCGACAATGCGAGATCACAGTCAGTAGGGCTAACCGTACCTTGTCGTGCATCCACAGATGCATCTCAAGCAGGACCAAGGAGGTGATCCTCCCCCTCTATGTGACACTGGTCAGGCCACAGCTGGCGTAGTGCATCCAGTTCTGGGCACTGCACTTCAGGAGGGATGTGGACAGCATTGAGAGGCTCCAGAGGAGGGCCACTTGCATGATCCACAGAGAGCAGGGCAGACCCTATGAAGAGAGGCTACGGGACCTTAACCTGTTCAGCCTTCACAAGAGAAGGCTGAGGGGGGACCTGGTGGCCATCTATAAACTCATCAGAGGGGACCAGCAGGTTTTGGGAGAGACCCTGTTCCCCCTAGCACCCCCCAGGGTAACAAGGACTAACGGCCACAAATGTTAGAGAGTAGGTTTAGACTAGACATCTGAAGACACTACTTCACAGTCAGGGCAGCTAGGATCTGGAA